AATACTATGAAAAGAAATTCCCTTCTGGGTTCACGGCGTTGGGGGTAACATTTGGTAGCGCTAAAACGCGTGAAATTTTGCTTAACTTGACGTTTATAACGTTAGATTAACATGTGTGGTGGTTACTAACGTTAGCTAATGTCAAACGTCGTGTAAGTTACTGTAAACTATTGGCGTAACGTTAGTTAGCCAACATGTACGGCACTGTGTATTAACACCCAAACTCCATCCAAACATCAGGCAGTTACTCGTGGTTTATGATCCACAAACCTCCGACCCTTGCTAAGTATGACTTCAAACACTGAAAGACAATCGTCTGTCATCCCACCGTTTTTCCTAGTTAAATTCAACATGCTAGGTGGTAGCGACTAACGACTGTGTGATTCACTTTTAAAACCTTTCTTATATCAAAATGAAACGCTTTTAGTGCTACGTTAGGGGATTATATGGAATTGCCAGAAGATCATGACAGTCATTCAACGTGTCGACACCTCAAGCAGGTAAACTTGCAGCAGGTAAAAGATGCAGATTCTTCGGACTAGAGTGGTTTTTTTTGTGTCCGAGATGTCAAAGGCAGCGATACTCTTGCCGGTGCCCTGATGTTTTTGACAACAGGCCCTTGGCTAGTAAGGCCACTTAATACACTTAGCTAGTTAGTGATTGCTAGCAGACCTATTTAATACAGTTGGCACCTGAGCTCAGGCCTACTTACACAGCTTTGGTCACGATGATATTTGCTTTATTGCAGGCCTACCGCAAATTGGCCAAAGAGTACCATCCTGACAAAAACCCTGATGCCGGAGACAAGGTATGATGCACCAAAGCATGTCATGGTAACAACAGCAACACTATAGTTAGCAGCAGCAAAAGCAACAGCTCTATTCCTCAACAATTGGGACCAAGAAATTATGTCAACTTAGTTTGTCATGATCACACAACTCGAATCTTTGATGATTAACACAAGACACAGATCAGAGTACAGAACATGAAACAGCTTTTCCCTAGAGAAAAGAGTATCCGTTTTTTATTTGTACTGTTCTATGACTCAATTCCTATGATTCTGCAAAGACATGACACAGTATACTAGTCTGTGTTTTTTATTTCTTTTTACTTTGTAAGAGGGGCTCATCAAAAACACTGTTTTGCTGTGATGTACTGAATCTTTTGTATCTTACAACTGTGTCAAGCTGTCTGATTTGTTCTTTTCTTTTTCTTTTCCAGTTTAAAGAGATCAGTTTTGCATATGAGGTACTGACAAACCCAGAAAAAAAGGAGCTTTATGATCGCTATGGAGAACAGGGTCTACGGGAGGGGGGAGGCGGAGGGCCTGGCATGGACGACATCTTCTCGCACATTTTTGGCGGAGGACTGTTTGGTTTCATGGGGGGGCAGGGCAGAGGACGCAATGGAGGCAAGAGGAGAGGAGATGATATGGTTCACCCTCTGAAGTAAGTATGTTACTTAAATGCAGTATTTGTTCCTCCGGTGCTGGTTAAAATATAATTTGTTTAACTGTTTACTTAATTTGTGTAAACTCTTTTGTCACATAGAGTTTCCCTTGAAGATCTGTACAATGGCAAAACTACCAAACTGCAGCTCAGTAAGAATGTGCTGTGTGGTGCCTGTAATGGGTGAGTTTGTTTTGAATGTTTCACTTTTATTCTTTAAACAACAGCTGATTGATGTATAGTTTAAAGGCCCTGATGGAAATTGGGATGCAATTGCAGTAATTTAGTGAGATAGAAATTCCTGATAACAATGCAGATGCTTTACTGTCTGTTTTTAGTCAGGGGGGTAAGGCAGGAGCAGTGCAGAAGTGTGTGGCATGCAGAGGACGAGGTATGAGAATCATGATTAGACAGCTGGCCCCTGGGATGGTCCAGCAGATGCAGTCAGTCTGCACAGACTGTAATGGAGAGGGTAATATGTCTATAAACACCCACACACTGACTGTACTTTTAATAGACACAGATAATGTACAATACTGAGCACGACCAATGTCTGTATGTGTGCTTGTGCAGGTGAAGTTATAAATGAGAAGGACCGCTGCAGAAAGTGTGAGGGTCATAAGGTGTGTAAGGAGACTAAGCTTCTGGAGGTGCATGTGGACAAAGGCATGAGACATGGACAGAAGATAACATTCTCTGGGGAAGCAGACCAAGCACCAGGCGTTGAACCAGGAGATATAGTCCTGGTACTGCAAGAGAAGGAACATGAGGTAACAAAAACAACAACAAACAATTGGCTTCTGATATTTATTTTATTATCATGGCTAAGAAGATAATAATTGTTATTTAGGGAGAGTTTCTATAATACAACCTGTTAAAACAACAAGCAACATATTTGGGATTTTAATCTAAATCAGGAATTCCGCCGTGATGGAAGTGACCTTCACATGGTCCAACGCATCGGCCTGGTTGAGGCTCTGTGTGGTTTCCAGTTGACTGTCACACACCTTGATGGACGTCAGTTGCTTGTCAAATATCCGCCTGGCAAGGTCATCGAGCCAGGTGAATATATCTTCGTACCACATTAATTGATTGCATTTCCTTCGTGACATTCTAGTTTTTTGTTTTTTTATGTGGTGGACATTTTAGTACATAATAGATTATTGTTCTTAGATTTACTGTTTACTGCCGCTATTAAGGGGTGGTGGTGCAAACCTTTTTTGGACAACGGATTAAAAGTGTAAAAAAAAATTTTTTATACCCCAAATCTTTCACATATATTTTAACGACAGTTAAAACTTTAGAAATTGTAATAGAATTTTCTTTTTAGTGTGTAAATATTAAACAAATCCCAAAATACAATGATTGTTAATTTAGCACATTATAATATGCCAAAAGCAAAGAGATATCCATATTTAAAGCATTGTTTTGAATTGTCTGACAATTCTGTGGCAGGATCTATTCGAATGGTGAAAGGAGAGGGAATGCCTCAGTATAGAAACCCATTTGAAAAGGGAGACCTTTACATCAAGTTTGACGTCCAGTTCCCTGAAAACAACTGGATTAGCCCCGAAAAACTGAACGTGAGTCGCAATCAATAAACATTCTAATTGGCAATTTTTTAGCTCCAGTAAGCTTGAATGATTATTGTCATGATGTATTTAAAAACAAAAAAAAATTTCTTTCAGGAACTTGAGTGCTTGCTCCCTGCTCGTGCTGAGAATCCTGTTATTGCAGCAGATGCGGAGGAAGTTGACCTGACAGATTTTGACAAGAGTCAAGGGTCAGGAGGTGGAGCCAGGAGAGAGGCCTACAATGATAGTTCTGATGAGGAAGGTGGCCATCATGGCCCAGGGGTGCAGTGCGCACACCAATAGAAAGACTCATTCATTCATACATACAGACATGCGCACACACACATACATATAAATACATGAACATCCCTTGAGTCCCACTGCTAACACCATTCAAGACTTGACGCACATACATGCACATCTCTCATACATGCACATCTCTCTCCTCCTGAGTCCCATGAATGAGAGAAATTCACAAATACATATACATGTATATTCACCCTCCTCAGTTCCATGGTGCCCATAAGTCAGAGATAAGCTGGATGTGTGATGGCCATTTTGTGTTTATGGACAGTAGTGCTCATCAAAGCCTCCAGCAAGAAGGTGGTCTCAGTCTCAGAGGTTCACTGACTGAACTTGACTTGGATCTCCCTGTTTTCATCCTAGGCTTTTACCTTTCACTGTGGGGAAACACCAGTCTAGTGTATAAAATGCAAATATTGTTGACTATCTTGTATAAGGTGTAGTTTAGTCTGTCACACACAAGCGCATGCTGCTTTCTTGCTGAAGATCTTGCACATATAGATCCAGGTTCTGGACCCTATAGAGAAATCTGACACCAAACCTGTTTAAATTTCAATGTGCCACTGCTTTCACGGTGGCCTGCTTCCATAAGAGCAGACCTGATTACAGCCCTGAAAGTGTGTCCTCCTCACAGCCTGCTGGGAACCGAACGTTTAACCCTCCTCATCCTCTGCAGTGAACAGTCATATTTTGAAAACGGGACCGTTTGTGTTCCTCAGCTGTCACATTGCTAGAATATTAAGGCCCTGACTTAAGCACCTGTCAGCCAGGCACATTTCTTAGTTTGGAATTTAAACTTTTTGTCTTTGTTGGTTTGAATGTTAGTGTGTTCGAGACCACAGAACTTGAACCTAAGTTGTGTACTCTTCTTTTGTTTTGAGGACACACTTGTGTGCTTCGTATGTATGTGTGTAATGCGGTGGCTCAGTGTGTGTGTGAGCTACTGTGGAATGTTCTGACTTATTAGGGTGATAGGTATTCCTGCTTTGTGTTGGACTGCAGTGTGAGTAAACACTATAGAGGATCAATTCAAGAGGAAAAACTGAATGTTTATTTGCTGAGAATCTTTCCGTGTAGACATTTTCCCTCTACTTGTCAGGTCAGAGAAATCCTCCTCTCTTGCAGGAAAACCACTAGGCCCGCACCAACCCTTTGTATTATACATATCCCCCCATCGTAGAGTTGTTAACCAAACTTTGATCCTTTCTCATGTTACAATATTCCCATCCCCATAGACCTGTAAATAAATACAGCCCCAGTCCATAGGTGCATTCAAAGTCTACAGCAGTGTCCTTCGTCTTGTCACATTATTTCTTACACGTAAGTAATGGCCAACAGTGCCAATATAAATGTTATGTTCACTTCAAGGTGAGTTGATGGAACCTCTGTAGACTGTTAACATGCACCTCTGCGACTCATTGTGTATGTAATTAATGCTACAGGGGGATAATGTGTACACAACTGAAGGGGGTCATTGATAAATAACATTGATGTTGATGCTTATGTTTGTTGAGATGATTAAACTGTATAATAAACAGTCAATATACATTTGAGATCTGTTTTATTTCATATGCACAACCTGCATCTTTGAGAATAGTTTTATAATGTACTAGTGATTGATGGATTAATTGGTTGATATCTGGCATTTTGAGATAATCGGTATTGGCTGGTAACTGCCAAGGTGACTTAGATTGAAATAAAAGAATGATTCAGGTTAACATGATAGCATCAGCAAACTCTTGTTCTCTTTCCCTATGTAAATCATGTTCATTCAACTCATTTTCCCCTGATCAGCCACACCCACTGTCCAGTGCCCCCCAGTTTGAGAACCACAGGCATAACCCAGTGTATTTTTCTATTTCATTAATTAATAAAAAATCCATGTAAAACAACGCACTACTAGCCAAGAAAACAATGTATTGTATTGCATGAAAAAATTTAATTATACGTGACTTTCCTTTCTTTTGGCCATCGGCCACCCTGCTCTCCAAATATTGCCAATGAGAAACCCATATTGGTCAACCACTATAATGTGCGCTTATGTGACCACAAACAAATGGGAAGGCTGTCACTGATGTGAGATCTACAGCATTACACTTGAAAGCATCAAAATATTATTTGAAAAGCAATGTGGTTTAAAATAATTTAAATCATTAGAAAACCATAGGTTTGTTGTGGTAGTATTTAGTGAGCCACTATGAACAATATGAGATTATTGATGTGTTTCTTTAACAAGACATGAATTTAAACAGCCGTAGTTTCTCAATCTGCTCCATCATCTGTTTCTCTGCTGTGGAGAGCTACTGGTCCAAGGAGTTCTTTAAATCCTGCAGTGTTCCTAAAGGATAAATAACGGCAGCTTTATTTGATATACTGTAGCACATTCCAAACATAGGCAATTCAATGGCGGTTAACATTAATTTGGTGTTTACTTACCTGTCTCGTTTGGACTGCATGACATGGGAACGCTCTCTTCTCAGCTGCTCCAGTCTCTCTCTAACAACTGTCTTCTGCTGGTTCTTATCCTCCTAAAACACAACAATAATGCCAATAATACAAAACCTAGATACAATTATGCAATATTTTTTGTAACTGTTTGTTTCTGCATACAATATACAGTACCTTACCTGTGGTAGATCTTGTGTGAGGTGCCTTAGCCTGTCTGTGTGTTTCAGGCCAAGCAGGTCTTCCTCTGCCTTCCTGTTCTGGATGATGGACAGACGCTCCTGAACCTGAAAAGGCAAACCATGTCAGAGTAATATGTCACCTTTGCCTCTCACTGACAGCAACCTGAACATGCTTTCAGTGCCCTTTATCCAAATTTCTCTAGCAGGTGAAGCTGTGCCAGAAATCTCTGCTCTCTCCTGTGCACCGTTCTCTCACCCTCAGCAGTTGTCTCTCTCTATCTCTCTGCTGCTTCTGTTCAACCTTTCTTTGCATGTCCACCAGGTTGCGCATTGTTCGTTCTCTCTCCACTGCCGAGACTGGTTCTGTGGCTTGCTCTCTCTCCATCAGTGTGGATTCCCTCTCTGCAGGGCTACAGTCAACCTTTACAACAGGAAATAGCATTGGTGGATACGTGTGAAAATTATACGCTCAAGGTTGCACAAATACGTAACAGCAGACTTACTGTGGCTCGTGATTACATTTCTCGTCCTCAGCCTGAGCGGGTTCAGGCCTTCTAAAGTCCCACTGCTGTGTCTCGGTTGCAGTGGGACATAATTCCACCTCAGCCACTTCTCTGTCCACATTTGCTGTCTCATTCATAAGTCTAGAGCAGAGGTCACCAGCGTGCCGCTTAATTTCAGGAACGTCAACCAAGAGATGTGGTTGTACACCCTGCAATGTTTCTGCTACCGACTCATATGTTTGCAGGTCACAGTTGGATACGGCTTCTCCCTTCTCCTGTTGATCAGCTATTGCTCTCTACTCAAAGGTCAACAAATGAATATAAAACAGAGAAAATCAGATGCATGACATTGTAATACAATGTTTTATGGTCTGCTTTAGGATTACAGAGTACCTGTCCTACTGTGTTGCACTGCTGGTCTGCAGACTGCGTGTCACGATGACCTGTCAAATCAGACTGGAACAGATCTTCCCTGTCTTTCTCTCCAGAAGTCTCCTCACACTCTGTGTGTTCAGCTGTGCTGTTCATGTCGCTTTTCTGGACTTGGGTCTTCGAACTGCTCTCAACATCCAGGCTCTGTCCTGTGCCCCCGACTGCAGCTTCTGCCTCATAGTCAGTGTCATCATCTGGCGGTTTGCTCCAAGCAAGGGCGATCAGTGAGCCCTGTTTCTCATAGCTCTGGGGGCTCTTTGCTGCACTGCCCTCTAATTCTTCCTGGGCTCCTCCCTCCGCAGCGATACTCCGATGAGTATTACTTGCTGCATCTGATACACACAAGATCTCCAAGTAGGGCAGTTCCTCCACAGTCACTCCACAACCTGGGGGAATACAAGATATTGCAATTGCAGGGGCAAGTGTATGGTAATCTATATCTGGCTGTGTTTGCACTACCTGTACAGACGTCCTGTTTGTCAGTCCCATCTGCAGCTTGCACCCTATTCAGTTCTCTGCTGGCCCTTCTGATTGAAACAAACCTCGGAGCTTCAGCTGGGGCTCCACTGCTGTTTTGAGCCTCAGCTGGTCCACTGCAGCAGGATTGAGCTGTGATGTGCTCATTGCTGCTCATTTCGGTTACGTTCGGATAAGGAGTTAGTATAGAACAGGAAGTGAGAGGGGCGTCTGAGACCAGGAGTTGGAGTGGGTTGGTGTAGCGCTTTGCTTGAAGTGCAGATTCATATTCATCTCGCAGAGCTTGGACACCCTGTACGCTCTAACAGACACACATCATTACTTTAACAGTTAATGCATTGTTAAAAGAGCGTGCACAAGTGGACTCTTTTGATTGGATGCCGTGGTTGTCTTGGCTCACCTTGTCCATCAATGCTGGCAGTAATGCAGAAGCTTGGACCTCCTGGAGCTCCATCAGATGGGTCAAGAGGAGCAGGGAACAATCCTCCAGCTGGTGTTGGGACCAAATCCCCGGTTGACTGCTTATGTGGGCCTGCATTTGGGGCTGGGGCTGGAGTTGTGCCTGAGGGTTTGTTTGCTGTAAGGGGATCTGAGTCTCATTGAGTGTCTGCAGACCGGCCTGGATTTGTCTCAGCCTTTTTATGCAGCCATTTCTTAAAGCATCGTGTGTATGACTATCTGCATAGGAAAACAGGAAACCAGAAAGATGGAACATAGAAATGAGGGGAAAACAAAAGAAAACCAATTCTGTAGAAGAAAAAGAAGAATATACTGATTTACCCTCTCTTGGAGGCACTGCGCAACCTGGCTCTTGCAAATCCTCTAGGGAGATCCCGTGTACCAGCTTGACCAGATGCTCCCTCTCCTGCTCCTGTGTCAGCACCAGCAACTGCAGCACTGCCTGCTGTGACGGAGCCAACATTTTTGTTCTGCTGCTGCTGAAACTACTGTAGTGTTTTTCTTTCAGCTATTACTTGAGAACCATCTTACTCCACAAAATAATATAATTCATGAGTAATGTTATGACATGATACACAGCTTATGTCTCAGAATCAGTGGGCCATAAGCAGATTTACAGTACCTGCTGTGGTGATTCCGAGACAAAGTTTTCTTTTGCTCCTCCACTTCACCACGTAGCCACTGGGCTGCCTGCTCTGCTCGGCATGGACTCTTAACATGTGGCCTGAACAGATACAGGAGAGACAGACAGTAAACAGCTGAAACTAAGTGTTCTAAGCTCAGAAAGTAAGACTTGATGAAAGTGTGTCCACATTTTAATTCCACTCTTATTTCCTCTGTGTTTGTTGGCTCACCATGTCTCCCAGGACTGCCGAGCTGCCAGAAAAGCGCTGTAGGACATTTTTTCTCTCTGAGCTCTGAGAGTTGCCAACCTGATGTAAAGACACAAAAGTCTGAGGCTCTCCCTGTCCAGCCTACAAGGCAAAAGATAAATGAGTCACCTCATCCCAGACCTGGTTAGAGCCATATATAAGCCCATGTCATTACTTAATAAGTATGTATTTGAAAACAATTCCTTGTATAATTGTGAATATGTGGATATATGTGGCATCTAACTATATTTTATTTCTTCATGTTGTGGTTCAAATGTGTGTGATCTGAACATGATGTGTTTCAGAAGTATTTACCTCTCACCCAGGACTGTTAGTGAGTCCCTTTCTTGTTGACGAAATGTGTGTAAATCACACAGGAGTGAAACAGCAGACCAACCCTGCTCCCCAGACTCAGGACGGCTTCTAAAAGACTCTCCCAGGCAGGTCCTGCAAAGGAGTCGTTTTTATTATGGTGCTTTCGTTTGACACCCCATTAATGTGAAATGGTAAGTGGTTTGTAATTTTTACATGAATTTTGATTAAGTACACTATCTGTGTTTTTTATTCATGACTGAAGGTGAGTTTCCTATTAGAATCATACAAGATATGCTGCTCTCTCAAAAGTACACACTTTATTTTTACACCTGTTTTGGAACCAAGAAATATTGTAGTATTGTAGTTTGGTTGTTGTTTTCTTCTCAGTTTAACGACATTTCAGTATATTAAGTTTTTATTTCATCTTAAATTTACAATAATGACCTTGCATGTGTGTTACCTGTATATCCTGAATGCTCCTGGCAGTTCGGCCAAACGGAGCATATCGCCTGACTCCAAAGCTTCCTCTGCAAGATCCTCCAGCCCCTCCTCTTCCTTGTGTTTTTGCCATGGCAGCAGAGTCTCCCAGACACTCAGAGCTGTGATATCACCACACACACACACACACACACACACACAAAAACAGTAATGTGAAGCATCTGGACCATGCTCTATAATGCTGAGTAAGTTATACCTAGAGTTATGAGGTTGCTCTCTGTGTTATGTAGTGACGACAGTTCAGAGAAACTTTTCCTTACTGTAGTGCTCCTGGAGCATTTCTGTATAAAGCAAGTGGGTCACCACATCATACTTCACATCCACCAAGAGGAGGACATCTGACAGGGAGACACAGCCCCAGGCCTGACCTCTAAACTCTTGGCTTTGACCCTGCCAGGGAGAGGGCAATATACTTTTTGCACCCTCTGATGCCAATCTAAGAAGATAAACAGACGCATATCAACTTCATAATTATAACAAACAAGCACTTAAATGTGTATGTGTTGGCTTGTAACTATACATAACAATGTTAGTTGTTTCTTGTGGTACATTCTTTTTGGAAGGTAAAAGGAGCAATACTGTGTAACATGTAATACTTAGCTAAAGTGATACTATGTGACTTACTCATTAAAAGACTGCTCAAATCAATTCGTTCAGGGGGTTTGGCGCTACAGCTGTACTTGGTCTTATGTTGGCTGATGTAAGCAGAATTTAGGTGGATATATGCATGAAAGTCATTACAGAGTCAGTTCACTGACTTTAGAATTGCAAAAATTTGTACCATTTAACCATATTCCATAATTGTCACATGTGGCCACAGTAGCAACTGTTCAGCAAAAGTTACATTACATAGGCTTGCTTTAAATAAATTGTCCTGCGTTTGAAAATGTACTTCAGGTGAGAAAAAGTATTAGCAGTAAAATGCAGAAAGGATTAATTTGTTGCCTTTCAGGTGTTGACTCATTGCCTCTGCCCACCTACAGCATTACAATGGCTCTAAGTCTAATAACTATTTATACAGTAAAATCAAGTGAAGTGCCTTTACCATGGAATTGTGGTACCTGTGGAATTTAGTACGCATGCGCCAACCGTGCATGCAGCCTGTTCAGTCAAGAATTTTCCCTCGAGGATTTCTGATTCTGATTCTGATTTCTGAATTGTATTTGATTAACTTTTCAACTTCTTCACACTTGGATGGATGCTCACCTTGCCCAGCAGTTCCTGGCTACCTTCAGCCTCTTCACTCCCTTCACACTCCCATCCTGCTCTTTACCCCTCACTTGTCTCTCCCTCTGTGTGTGGAAACAAAGTGTAATGATGAACAGAGCAACTGTCTCCATGCAGAAAATCTGCTACATTGTAAGCACATACCTGTAAACTGACAGTGTCAAATGTGCATGACTGTAAAGATTCTGACTCTGATTGGTTGTCAGCTTTTTTGAAAGTATTTGGGTCTGAGCTTTGGTGCAGGCAATTCAGCACATGAAGATCGATGACAGCTGGCTTGTCCATCACACAGAGAGTGTTGGGATTTCCAGCATTTAGCAGCTGGAGGTCCCAGTAGAGCTGGAGATAACAATATTGACTCTCAGTGGTGATGGTCTGAGTTTCTCAGACACTCTCATATGAAAGTCAGAGAAAAGAAAAGAATTTCATTGACTACCTGTTCCTTCTTTTCCCTCTCCCTTTCCATTTCTATGAGAACATCCAACACATTTTCACCTACACAGGACCAGCTATTGTCACCTCCTGCGATCTGAAACAGACACAGGTACATAAGAGTATCCCATAATGATGAATGAAGATTTGAGCTACAGCTGCATTGATAATAATATTTGTTGTTTAAAATTACACCACAGTTTTTACCTTCTTCATGGCCACATGTGCTTCATCAGTGCCAGAGGGAACACAAAACACTTTACGGTAGAGGCGACTCACATCTGCAGAGGAAAACTCTGCTCCGACAGACATACCCAGAGATCGGTACAGACCAGCGACACAATCCTGAAGGAATATACGAGGACAATAGTTGCAATTTACACGTGGAAAATAGAAGAAGTTCTCTCCCAACATCAAAACATCTTACCTGCTCCATGTTTTCACCACTGAGGGCTGATGAATTATACAGCAATTACTATGGTTACAGCAGGTTACCTATGCACACCAGCTGGATCAGGTTACCAGGCAACAAAAGTGATAGTGTATGAAGACAGAGAGGAGTGAAATGTGATGCCATGATCATGTGACACATTCACATGATCACTCACTAAAATGTTGTCTAGGTTACACAACTAGTTAATTGTAATATATTCATTAAAAACATACTAACTGAACACTTTGTCTACATCATTTTACCTATAATTAGTACCAAATTACATATTTCTTTCCAGGAATCTTAATATCAAATTAATAAGAAATGACAGATCAGTAAAATAAAGTGCTACCAAGATCATACTCATACTCTTGATAATAATGAATTTATTCACTGAACAAAAAAAATGAAATACCACAAATATTAGCGAAGCCTTTGTTTATTTATACCATGGAGAATAAAAAAAAGAGTACCTGAGATTATGGGGCTTACTGTATATACAGTCAGACAACACGCAGTGCTGAAACAAACCTGTACAGTAAACCTGCTATTTTTATAGTAAATAATACCGTAATAATCTAAATGCTATGGACAGTATTTTATAAATGTATAAAACTAAACAAAACAATACCAATGAACATTTGAAATAAAAATGACAAACCCCTGTGTAGTATAAATATTTGGTGCTACATATAACAATATAACAATTTTATAAAAACACTAAAATGCAGTATTTCACTTCAGTCAATATGTTAAATCCACAGGTCAAGGAGGTTCATCTGTTGTGATATTTCAAACTTTGATTATACAGTAACGGAAGGTTTGTGTAGTCCTTGAGTGGAGTAAAGATTATTAGGGTTGTCAGTGCATGTGTGTCCAATTTAAATTGAGCAGTTCGAGCATTATGAGGGGTTGGCATGGATGATCTTTGGGCACTTTTCTGGCTGTATGCAATAGTTGTTGTGTAGAACCAGACCAGCAGGACACTGGCAGCCTGGGACACAGGGCTTGAAGCAGTGGCTCTCTATCACCCCCAGTGGTACGTCAACGTTAAAGCAAGTTACAGGACATGGGGGTCCGCACTCGTCAAACACAAAGCCCCTCTCCACTGGACAGCCCACAGCTGTGAAAGACAGCAACAGAGAAAAAACAACGAGAGGCTGAGAACATTGTGACTAATATGGCTTCAAGGATATGACTGCTGTTTTTCTTTACTGGTGAATAGTAGGGATTAGCAGGTGCAAGTGTCTATTCGTTTGCATTTGCATGTTTGCAATTCAAACATAATGTCAGTATCAAAAATTGTTTCAACTTTGGCTGATTATTTCCCACATGTAGTACCCTACTGCTCATAGTATGAAGCCGATGAAAATAAATGTGTGTTTCACTCACCACACAGTGATGGGCCCCTCCATTGCAGGATGACTCCAGCCTCTCTGCACTGACTGGCATAGGCCTCCAGTGTGTCACACAGACACTCATCACTATTGGCCCCGCAGGCACAGAGGTCATACACACAGGCTCCATACCACGGTTCAGGAGGCACCACGCGATGGCAGGGCTTAAAGACAGCTGACTTCAGGACCTTACAGCGAGCGTTAGCCCCCTTCTTGGTCTGGTAGCCCGCATCTTTACAGGGATTGACATCTTCACCGGGACGACAGGATGAGAGGCAGTGGCTACCAT